TTAATTACCTTTAAAATCCCACGTCAAGACCTTCCTCTCCCACCGGGGCCCGAAATAACAACCCTCCCATCGGACGCGGCGCCCGATCAGGTCTTCGAGACGTCTCAAAGCGCTTCGCAGGATACTCCGTCCGAGCGAATCGACCGGATATTTCGTGGGAGAATCGCGCCCGGCGGCGTCCTGACGATTAAAATCTTTTTTTTTTCTTTTTTTGGAGGGGGGGGGGGGTCACTGCCCCCCGGAAAAGCGAGCCGCCAACCCCGCCCGCCCGCCCGCCCGCCCGCCCGGGAACCGAATCCGGATCCTCTCGTGAGCGCCAACTGAAAGCGATAAATGAAATCGTTGGGGAGTTGAGGCACAGAGCAGCCGGGATGGCAATAAAATAATGACACACGAGAATGATTTGATCGCCTCAGCCCCCCCCGCGGGGCGCTGCCGTGCGCTGCCGGGCGCTGCCGGGCGCTGCCGTGCGCTGCCGGGCGCTGCCGTGCGCAATTGGCTGACGCGCTTCGCCCACGAAATGCACAGTCGCTTCACTTTACGACGACAGCAGCAACAACAAAATGACACGGGAAAAAGGTGCCCTTCACCTCAGGAGGCCGGCAGTGCGAAGGGTTTGAGACGCCTCGAAGACACGATAAGGCACTGCATCAAATGCAAAGATTATTATATCGCCCGAGGTGAGAGAGCAGCCCTCCGACACCCCCCAACAAACTCCGACACCCCCCAACAAACTCGATACCCCCCCAACAAACTCCGACACCCCCCAACAAACTCGACACCCCCCAACAAACTCCGACACCCCCCAACAAACTCCGACACCCCCCAACAAACTCCAACACCCCCCAACAAACTCCGACACCCCCCAAACTCCAACTGCGAAACTCATTTAGATTTTATATTGTAAAATTGTGTGTGTTTCCCCCTTCCCTCCGCCCCCCCCCCCCACCCCACCTCCCCGTCCCCCAGTGCTGAAACTGCTGAAGATGGCCACTGGGATGAGAGCTCTCCTGGACACAGTAGTGCAAGCTCTTCCGCAGGTAAGACTCCAGATCTCCAACCTCTCTCTCTCTCTCTCTCCCATCTCCGGCCCATCCCATTCCCAAAACGGATCAAATTCCCCCCCCCAAAAAAATGAGGTACAGATCAGCTACGGATCAATAGAATAGAATGGCGGAACAGGCTCGAGGGGCTGAATGGCCACCTCCTGTGTTCCTATCAATCCCCAATTCCCAAAGGACCAGATCCCAACAGATCAATGGAAGTCGAAGGCAGAGACATTAACATTTTGTTCTGTCCTCGTGTCCAGGTGGGAAACCTCGGTCTCCTCTTCATGCTGTTATTTTTTATCTACGCTGCACTGGGGGTTGAGCTGTTTGGCAGATTAGGTAGGTCTCCCTCCTCTCTCTCTCTCTCTCTCCCCCTCTCCCCCCCCGCCCCCCCCCCCCACTTCTCCCTCTCTCTCACTCACTCACTCTCTCTCACTCTTTCACTCACTCTCTTTGCTATATCTCCCCTTCCTCTTTCCTCTCTCTCCCTCCTTCTCCCGCTCCCCTCCTCTCCCTCTCTCTCGTTTTCTCTCTCACTGACTGACCCCTTGAGACCGACTGAGACCGACCAACTGCTCAAGACCAATACTGCCCAACACTGAGACTGTCTGTCCTGAGCTCAGTGTGTGATGTTTGACTCTCTTTCCCCCCCCACCTGACCCCCCCCTTTCACTCCCCCCCTCCGTGCTCCCTACAGTGTGTAACGAGGACTACCCGTGTGAGGGTATGAGCCGACATGCTACCTTTGAGAACTTCGGGATGGCTTTCCTCACCCTCTTCCAAGTGTCAACCGGGGACAACTGGAACGGGATAATGAAGGTACGCAGAGCAGGAATCCTCGTCTTCATTTCTTCCTCTGAGAGACACTGGGGAAAGAGAGAGAGAGAGAGAGAGAGAGGGTGGGGGGGGGGGGGGTAGTGGGGGGGAGAAGGGAGATGTGGAGGGAGGGAGAGGGAATAAAGGAAAGAAAGAGGAGACAGCCAGAAAGAAAAATAAGAGAGAATGAGAAGGATTAATGCATAATAATCGCTAAAAGATAGATGAGAGGAGGTGAGAAAGAGGAGAGTGAGAGAGAGAGAGAGAGAGAGAGAGAAAGAAAGAAAGAAAGAAAGAAAGAAAGAAAGAAAGAAAGAAAGAAAGAAAGAAAGAAAGAAAGAAAGAAAGAAAGAAAGAGTAGACAGCGAGAGAGAGAGCGAGAGAGAGAGAGAGAGCGAGGAAGCCTCGAGAAAGAGGGAAAGAAGAGCGATGCCCTAATGCCGGGCCATGACGGAGCTGTGTTTTTTGTGCGTTGGCCCCAGGACACGCTGAGGGACTGTAATGGGGAAGACCGCACGTGTCTGACCAATCTGCAGCTGATCTCTCCGCTGTACTTCGTCAGCTTCGTGCTGACGGCGCAGTTCGTGCTGATCAACGTGGTGGTGGCCGTCCTGATGAAGCACCTGGACGACAGCAACAAGGAGGCCCTGGAGGACGCCGAGCTGGACGCCGAGATCGAGCTGGAGCAGGCTCAGAAGCTGTGCGGGCCGGGGGCCCCGGGGGCCCCGGTGGGGGCCGGGGGGCCAGCGCCGGCCAGCCAGGCCGCAGCACCCCCCCCGGACCCCGGGCGCAAAGCCCCCAAACGCAGACCGGACGCGGCAAGCGCGGGCCAGTGCGTCTCCTCACCTGCACAGGTCTGAACCGGCTTCACACCCACCCCTCAACAACTCCCCCCACCCCACCACCCTCGCTCCTTCCTCCCCCTTACCCCCCCTCCCCACTCCACCCCCCCACCCAAAAAAAAGGGATCAAATTAACTTTTAAGTTCGTTTCGAATGCATTTTTGGTGGCTTTTTTTGGCGCGATCGGGCGCGGGGGTGGTGGGGGGGGCTACATACATAGTTGTTGTTGTTATTGCTGCGTAGGGCGGGGGAGGATTTGAAGAATAATGTGGCGTCCCAGTAGCTCGGGGGTCGGAGCCCTCGCCCGGGTTCGATTCTCGTGTCAGGGCTGAAATGTTGGCCAAGTGTCCTTTCCTGTGAAGCGCTTTGAGACGTCTCGACGACGCGATCGGGGGCTGTGTCCAATGCAAGAATTATTATTATTATTATTATTATTGTAACCTTGATGTCTTCTTGCCTCATCTGCTCCTGTTGTGGCTCTTGTCCCCCCCCCGACGCAGGAGAGCCTGTGGTTGGACAGTGTGTCCCTGATCATTCGGGATTCCTTCGAGAACGAGCTTCTGATGATTGACAACCTCTCCGGCTCCATCTTCCATCACTACGCCTCCCCCGTGTGCGGGAAGAGCCTGCGGGACAAACAGGAGGTCAGTCCTACCGTCTGTTCCATCGGTTAGTTCGGCCATTTCTCGCTGCGATAGACCGACAAGGAAACCCGGCTCGTCCATGTCTGTTGCGCGCAAGAGAGAGAGAGCGAGAGAGAGCCCGAGAGAGAGAGAGAGATAGAGAGAGACCAAGAGCGTCCTCTGAGTCACAAGGTTGTGGGTCGGAGATTGGGAATGCTCTCGCCCGCATAACACACAGTCACTTCCCCTTTTGCGGCGTAACCCGTGAAGCGCAGAGCTTCAGATTGTTGGGTGGGTTTAGGAGGGGGGTTGACTAGTTGGGTGTGGGGGTGGAGGGGGAAGGGCTGTGCCGGATGTAAGGCTTATTGTCTGCCCCCTCACCTCCTGACCGCCTCCCCTCCTGACTGACGCTCCCGGTTTTCCCAGATAAACCTGGCCGAGATCGAGGCTTTCTCCCTGATGTCGGATTTCCTGTCGGACAAGTCGTCGTCCGTGGCTCTGGCCGAGGAGTTCAGCTCGGACGACAGCAACGTGCACCAAAGGAGCAGCGGGGGTCAGGAGGTAGGTAGGGGGGCAGCGGGCAGGGCTGGGCTCAGGGCAAGGGTGAACCAAGGGGTGGGTTGGGGGTGTGGGGGTGGATTTGGGTTAAGTTTAGGGGGTGGGGCTGGGGGTGGGGAGGTTTGGGTGGGCACTAGATGGTGCTTGAGATTCGGGAGCCTCGGGGGGGAAGGAAGGAGAGAGAGATCGAGAGAGAGGGATAGAGAGAGAGATGGAGAGCAGTGAGTGTTGGACATGACAAGTTGCCGGACGGTGTCTGTGGGGCCCACAGGGAGAGGAGGGCAGCCCGGGGGGAGCCGGGGAGAGCGCCGACGGCAACACACTGGCGGTCGCCAAGTTGGCCGTTTGCCGGACCACCTCGCTGCCCAACGAGAGCTACGGCGCCCACCAGGCCAGCCCGGCGCCCACCACCGCACTCACCCAGATCGACCGGCGCCCAACAGACCTCAGTGCAGGTGAGATGTCCCCCCAACTCCCCACCCTGCACCCCCCCCCCCCACCATCCCAGCTCCATCATCAGCGGTCAAGCCTTCAGCCTCTCTGCCCAGACCCGTTGGGACTCCCACCCACAGTCCCTCCGCCTCGCGCGCTCTCTCTCCCTCCCTCCTTCCTTCTCCTCCTTTCAAGGCCGGTCTCAAGAACTTCCTCTTTGACCCTTTAGGCCTTCGGTCACCCTCCTACCCCACTCTCCCGCTCCCCAAACCCTCCCCGGCCTCCCTCCACCAGTTTCCCCCCACCCCACCCTCCTGATCCCAACCCCCAGCTCAAGGTCCAAATCCCTGACTGTCCGTCCAGCACAAATTGCCGCGTTTCACCAATAAAAGGCACAGTCCCTGCGCTCCACACAAAGGTGGAGACGTCTGTGGATACAGCAGCAAATACAGAGATAATTATTACTATTATTTGATGTCTCGCTCTCTCCCTCTCTCTCTCAGTGACGTGTGTTCCTGCCTCTCCACGCCTTCCATTCCCGACGGATTTCTTCCGGCCCGTGACGTCTTCCAGCAGCGCCGACCCAGAGCGCGAGCCCCCTCCCACCCTCCCGTCTCCCGCTCCCTGGGGGTCCGAACAGCTCCAGAGAGAGGTGGGTGTGCGGCCCGAAGCGATTCCGCCAATCGATTCCTGTTTACTGCTACGTACACAGAGGCGCGTGTGTGTGTGTGTGTGTGTCTGCCTGCGTGTGTGTGCACGTGTGTGTGTGTGCGCGTGGAGTAAGGAAACTCGTCTAAGGTTTGACCCCGACCCGGGAATGAATGGAACCTGTGTCACTGACTTGTGTTTCGCCCACAAAATATGCAGTCCCGGGGCTGTACAGTGAGGCGCTTCGAGACGTCTGAACAACAGAACAAAGCGCTGTATCAAATGCAAAGATTATTATTATTATTATTGTTATTATTGGCTCTAATTGTACTGTAATCCCAGACCAGCCTCAGTGATGTGCTGCTGGAGGTGCGGATGGACGGATCGGTAGGCAGTTCCCAGGGTCTTTCGCCCGCCCAGCCAGCCTCGCCCAGGCCCCCCAGCCTGGCGTTCGACCCCCGGCTCCGGTCTCGCGGGGGCGGAAGAGGAGGAGGAGGAAAGAGGGGGCAGCCTCGTCGAGCTCGCGCTCAGCAGCGACGGAGACAGAGTAGCGGGGGCAACGTGGAGCCAGTCTCAGCCCCGCAGGACTCCTTGGATGCGTCTGACGAGGAAGGGGTCAGCCTCTCGCCCAGAGCGGGCAGCGAACAGTCGGAGACTCTGAGCAGCCTGTCCCTCACCTCCCTCGTGTCCCCCTGCCTCTCGCCCCCCACCCCCATCAAGAAATGCAACAGCACCGGCGACTTGGACTCCGGTCCCAGGCAACACAAGCCCAAGGTCCTGTACTCGGTGGACAGGCAGGGCTTTCTCTCTGCCCCCTCCTGGGTGGCTGACTTCTGCCAACACAACCAGCCCGCGGGCGGTGGGGGCGTTCTCGAGCCCCACTCGGGGTCCACCCGCCACTCGCACACCGCCGGGAGCTTCCGAGCCGCGCAGGGGGAGAGAACGAGAGCCAGGTCGAGATCGAGATCGGATTCGGTGGCCGCACCAGACAGAGGAGGAGAGGAGTATAACACAATGCAAAAACAGAAGAGATGAATTCTTTTATTTATATATATATATATATATATATATACTTGGTATATACATAAACACGGGCTGACCCCAAACTCCTGATATCTTACCCTATTATCCGACAGCAAAACAAAGAGAAAGAAAAAAATCATCCTTTTCTTTCGAAGGTTTATCAGGACCGATGTCTCGCCCACAAAACGGGCGGTCAATTCCTTTACCCGGGAAGCGCTTTGAGACGTCTCGAAGACGTGATAAGCCGCTCGGTCGAAGCGCGAGGATTTTTATTATCGTCGGTAGTGTTGTACGTCCTCGGGGGGGGGGGTGGGGGGGGTTAGAGCGAGCGAGAGGCACGGCTCTGTTTGACCAACAGTAACTACGAACCCAGTTCCGGGGGGTAATAATCCCTCCAAAAGAAAAACTCAGCCCACGGCTGTTTGTGTGTGTGGGTGGGGGGGGGGGGACGCTGCCGTGCGCAATTGGCTGCCGCGTTTCGCCCACAAGTCGCTACGCGTTACAGCATATCCTGTGAAGCGCTTTGAGACGCCTCGAAGACGCGATGAGGTGTTACGTCAGATACAGGGATTATTATTGTAATGATATCACAACTTGTTGGTCACCCTGTGTGCGCGCGTGTATATATATATATGTGTAAAGTGTAGCGCGCTCTCTCTCTCTCTCTCTCCCTCTCTGTCTCTCTCACGCACTCACTCATTCACTCACTCACTCACTCGCACACAAACTAATTCTTTTTTGCGGAGGGAAAAGGAAGTTTAAGCGCCGGCTCCGGATCAAACTAATTCTGTTTACCTCAAACGTGATGAGCAGTTCAGATCTTGTTATTGTAGTAGGCGTCTCTATCTCTCTCTCTCTCTCTCTCTCTTTCTTTCTTTCTCTTTCTTTCTTTCTTTCTCTCTCTCTCTCTCTCGCTATCCCTCTCTCTGTGTGTGTTTGGATTTCGGACGGACGGCAGAAGGTAAACGGGGGGTTAAACGTATATCCCTCGCGAGGGGGTTTGCGGCTGCCAATATTTTCTTATTGACGTTTGACGACGCTCCGTGTTTCTTAACGAATTATCGATCAATTAATCGGAGTTGAGGCACAGATCAGCCGTGGCGGAACAGCCTCGAGGGGCTGAATGGCCTCCTCCTGTTCCTGTGTTCCTTATGTAAGTCCTTGCTCTCTGACCGTGTTTTCGGTCAGGTTTCAAACCCCCACCCACACCCCCACCCCACACCCCCCCACCCCACACCCCACCCAGCTCAGGTGCCAAGACAGGACTGTCTGTTCATTCGCTGCCTTGGGAAGTCCTCCTGACGTAAAAGGCCGATGTGGTGTCGATGTAAATTTGTATTGTATTGTATTTTTTTAATCTCTCCCTCGCACCCCCCCACCGCACCCCCTCCCGCTCACTTGAGTAGGATAGCGTCTCATAGCGCCGTACTGGGGGGGGGTGGTCGAGGTGGGGGGGGGACAGACCCTCTGTGAGATGCTGTAGCTTATCGATTCTTAATAATAATAATA